GGCCCGGCCCAGCGGCTCAGCCAGGGCGCCCGAGACCCACCCGGGAGTCGTAATCTGCTGACAACGTGACTAGAGCAGCCCGCGCTGCTGCCGAGCCCGCAGCTTCCTACCGCTTCCCGCAGCCTCCCGGCTCGCCTGGGTCTTAAATCCCCTTCGGGCCCCGGGAGACCAGCCCTGAATCCCCACCGGGCTCCAGGGTGAGCCCTCGGCAGTCACCAATTAACGGAGATTCGGCCTCGTTTTGGAGACGCCTAGAGACCCCCCTGGGCTAGGTCCTCAGACCGGTAATTACCGGCAGGGCCCTGGAGCCGGCAGGGCCCGATCCCCAGCTGCACTGGGCCCGCATTCTGCTCTCTCCCCCCTGGCCTGACACCTGGGGACTCCGCTGGATTCACTGTGGCTGTTCCCCCCGCCCCCGCCGCCCCTGCCCTGCACACGGGTGTGAGGCAGGAGAAACGCCATCGGGAAACGAAGCCGCGCGGTGCTTGTCCCACGCCCTGCGCTGTTGTGGGGAGGTTGATGCTCGTCTGGGCTCTGCTGCCCTGTGACACAAGCCAGAGAATCCCCCCGCGGGGTGAAATAGCAGAGGCTGGGCCGGAGGTGGGGCTGGAGGCCTCTGAGTCCAGCCGAGCTTTCTCCTGAGTCTGTGTCCCGCTGTTCCCCGGCCCCCCTCTCTGAGCGCACAGGGAAGTGTTCGTGCAGCGGGGTGGGGACGGGTGAGGGGGACGCTCCCCGCTGTGCAGACAGAGGCACCATCCGTCCCGTGCGCCACGGCGCAGCCCTTGTGCCAGGACAGCAGAGACGCTGAGTAGAGAGTTGAGCCACTTTGGGCAGGACAGCCGCCCCTCCCCCAACCTCCCACCAGACCCTGACACGCTTGTTCTGAGCCGACACAGAGCGAGCCAGACCCGCCTGGCAGAGCTTGTGTCTCAGTGACCCGTCGGAGGCAGGGTTCTCCACCCCTCCCCCCTTCACTGGGATGCATCTCCCGGGCCATGGGCGGGTTCTGTTCCCCTCCCCTTTGCACCGCCAGGATCCAGGAGGAAGGGCCCTTAGCGCGTTATAGCTGATGGACTCAACCAAAGCAGCTCCCTCCCTAGCCAGGGCAGTGGGGTGGGCACTATGCGCCTGCGCCCTGGGGTTGGCTCCATGGGGGGGATGCCCTGCAATGGACACAAAGCCACAGACACCGCACAGAGGGAGGGGAGCGGGACAGGCCCCTACATTCGGGGTTCCAGCAGTGAGCTCATCCAGCCGTTTGCTGGTGTCCCAGCGCTGTAGGTCTAATAAGGCCCCCAGGGATTCCGCTAATCCGTCTCATTCCCCGACCTTCCCTGCTGGGCACCTCGCCTGGGAGCCGGGATGCGGGGCAGACGTGGTGATTAATCTCTGTCGATGTGTTATCCCCAGTCCTGACCCAGCACCCCAAGGGGTGGAAGGCGCTTTGGGATTAATTAAAACGTTGCCATCGCTAACGAGTCCCCGGCTGGAACTCACCGCGCTGGGTGCCAGGCTCAGACGTGACTCTCGGCTGGCATCAGCTGAGTGTGTGTCATTGCCGTGAATGTCAGAGCCGGGCTAAATTGGATGATTCGCTTCATTAATGATAGAGAATGGCAGAGAGAGGGCGCTGATAAAGTGCGCAGGGGAGATCAGAAGGGAGGGGTCCCGAGTGCTTTGGAGCAGAGGGCTGCACTTTAGAACGAACAATGGTCAGAAGTAAAGAGGATGAAAATCAAAAAGGACAAAGGCAAAGTGCGGCCCTTAGGAGGGAACCATCCAGCGCACACAGAAGGGGAAATGTCCCCAAAGCAGGAGCACTGCCCAAGGGGCTCCTAGTGACCCATGAAGCAAATATGGGTCAACAGCCTGTCACTGTTACCAACAAAGCAGATATGACTCTGGGCTGCATGAATAGGAGTGTTGTGAGCAAGACACTTGAACTCATTAATTATTTCGCTCTACTCTGCGCTGATCAGGCCTCCCCTGGAGTGTTGTGTCCAGTTCTGGGGACCACATTTCAGGAACGCTGTTGACAAATTGGAAAAAGACACGGATGATTAAAAGTCTAGAAAACAGGACCTATGACACTGGCCTGGTTCACACAAGCCCCAGAAGTTGCCTTTTCTCCCCATGTCCAGCCCCTCCCCTTTCACCAAGGCAAGGCCAGGCTCTGGTGCCCAACACCAGCCTTTCCTCCCCTGCAGCCAGGGCTACTTCCCCACTCCAGGATCCCCAGAGAGTCTCAATGGAAGTAGCCTCGGATCACGATTCTGGTTTTCAGCTTCTTTGCACAGCACATTCTGTAGCTGTAGGAACGCGGTACCAGAGTAAAGTCTCCCGGAGTCCAGGTGTGCTCTACCCCTTGGACCATCCTTCCTCTCTGCCCTGCAGTGTGCTAAAGTGCACCACAGAGCCCTTAGTGAGTGTGCACCAGCAGCGTCTGCAACAGCGGGAGCAGGCAAATACCCGCCCAAGCCAGATCTTGTCTGTCAGCGTTCACCCCTGCTGGGTCCCCACACCGCCATATTTACCTGCACCTCCGCAGGGGTGGGAGACCACAGCTCCCATTGGCCCTGGATCATGAATTAATGGACAAGTCTCTCAATGGATTTTATCCAGTGCTTGGGGCTTCCCTAAAGCCCTGGCTGTCAGAAGCCTGGAGTGGAAGACAGAGCTGGAGCGCTGCAGAATTGCCCTGTTCCGTTCGGTCCCCTTGGATCTCTGGCGCAGGACGCTGTCCCAGACAGGATACTGGGCGAGGGGGACCATTGTCTGAACCAGAACGGCTGCTCGTGTCTCCAATAGGAGCTGGGTGTCTCACACTTTTGGGGCGGGTCCACACAGGGATACGCCCACTGCTGGCCTGGCTCATCCAGCGCAGGCTTTGGGCTGCAAAACTACTGGGCAGACATTGAAGCTGGGTTGGGGGGTGAGCTCTGGAACCCTGAGGGGGTGGAGGGGTCAATGTCTACTCAGCAACTTTTAGCCCCAGCCAGCTGATGCCACAGCAGCCTTCAGCTCCTTGAAGGGGGATTGCAAAGAGGATGGAGAGAGACTGTTCTCAGTGGGGGCGGACGGCAGAACGAGGAGCAATGGTCTCAAGATGCCGTGGGGGAGGTCTAGGTTGGATATCAGGAAAAACTATTATTAGGAAAGGCCCAGACACAGTCATTCTATGGGGCTTTTATCCTCCTGGACAAGGACCCTTCAGTGCCTTTTTGAATCAGGGCCTTTATCCCGATCCTTCCAGATGCTCCAAATTCTGAAGCTCTGTTGACTTCCACTTGCAGGATCAGGGACTTGGGCAAAGGAGAGACGCCCCCGGGGACGATACAGTAAGGAAGGGAGGTCTGGGGAGGAAGAAGAGGCAAGAGTAATATGAACAATGTCCATCTGTCTTAATGAAGCAGGATCCTTCTGGCGCAAAAGGACACAGAATTAGGGCAGGACAAAAACTTGTGGCCAAAGGCTGGACAGAGATGGTGTGACGGCACATTGGGGGTCCCCCGTCTCCTGCACCCCGAAATGGCACAAACAGACTGCACCAGCCGGTGGAATAGAGGAAGTTTATTGCCTCTCCAGGAT